AAGGGAATCTGAAGACTGTCATTGCTAAACTCTCCTTTTGATGATTCCAAGGCTCTATTGCAAGTTAGAGTCAGTATGACAGACGTGTAGTCTGTACCTTTTAAAGCAAGCTATTGAATGTTTTTTTACACTTATACGTAGGTTTCCTTTAAAGTGTATAAGGTCTTATAAGATCTTATTGGAGCATTAATGTAGACTAAATCGTTTGCCTTTCAAGTGACTATTTAAAGCACATTGCTCATGTTTTGGACTGGATTTTAATAGGGAATATTTTTTCACTTACACTGTATTTTTAAAATTACTTTTAAACTTATTTTAGGCCAAAGAAAAGTGTTTGACCTGCCTTCTGGCAGCTGCCTGTTTCGAAGTGATGTCTACGACAACCATTCCAGTTTTATGTACGACAGCTGTACAACGTGCACCTGCAGGGTAAGTAAAGCACCTGCAACCAAATATGAGCTTTCCCTCTGGATCCCTTTCTCACATCTGTCACTTGTCCAGATATACAAAAGGCCAGTAACACACTGAACTTGTGAGTGACATCTGATTACAGGGTTTAATTCATGATTATAACTGTGATTTTATTATGTCACATACTCAGTACTTATATTTCAAGTGTAGACAATAAAATGGCACTATGTCATTCAGAAAATGAACTAGCCTTTTAGGAAATGAATACTGGAACACTGTGATCTTAAAAACATGATGGCAGTGGAAAACAAGTTTGTATAGTTTTCAGAAGAGGACATTTAAAGGGAATGTATAGTTTATTTATGTTTTTTTTTATTATTTTATGACTAAAAATTAAATGTGAAAAATACTGTATGATTACATTTTCTATTAAATATTATAGCAGAACTCCGGGCAAAACTTTTTTATATGTCCTTGTTGCTGATTTCCTACCTTCCCAAGGGTTTCCTGTTTGTAAGACTGGTGTCTGATATTCCTCCTATTCCTCCAGCCACCAGTCTTAGCACTTCCCATCTGTAGTTGTGTTCTTCAATAAGCAGGGATGTAATTCCGTCCCTACTTGCTGTAGTGGGCTGGACAGGAATCACAGACTGCCGGTCTGTACACCCATGGAGGTGATGTTCTGAAAATGACAGCCCCTTTTTGACCCCCTAAAATGGCTGTATCCAAAGTCTTGAACAGCCCTTAAGCTCGTGCCACCCATGAATTGTGGCCTCATCACGGGTGCTCAGAACCCTAAACACTCACATAATACTGTACACATACTGTTTCCTGGTTCCAGTTTCCGCCACCGCTGCCTATGGCCCCCCTGTCACATCACTAGTTGCTAGGACCGCCTAACATCTAGCAACCAGTGATGTATATGGAAGTGGCAGACTGGCCCTATGAGAGGCTCTTGATAAGTGCCAAAGCATCCAGCGCTGTGCCAATCCCCCGCCAGCAGCTCTGGCTACTAGCTCCACTGTACTACCAGAGGGTGTTAGAGGGTGGCAAGAATTCATTAGAGGGCTCTACATGTACACAGCAATGTATAGAGGTTGTGGTCATGCTAAGACTGGGACAATATAAGTGAATGTGAAGGTCTTCTCTCTATGGAGAGAGAAAACTGTAATTTTATATAGTGGGGACACTGCGTGTGCATACAGCACTGCATGGACTGTTAATGAGCATACAGAAGACTGTTAGAGCCTATGGTAGGATGGGGTCCCTTTCACTGAATGTGACTCCAGGGGGAAGCCTGGGTGTCATATTGTTTTAGAGAGCTGTAATTGTTTATTAATGGGGTGCTGTGCCTGCATACAGCGCTGTATGGACTGACATGGATTGAGAAAGAGGGCGCATGATTTATGTTGAAGTGGGCGAGTACACATTCAACATGAACAGGCCTATTGTATCTGCCCACATTCAATGCCATTCCCAGAGATTGATGGGAAATGCAGTTTCCTTTTTCTGTAGAGAGTGAGAAGAGGATATGATGTAATCCCGGCTGTTACGCCTCCTCCTTGGCAGAGCAGATGCTGTTATCTTTTGAATTACAGAGATGACTTCCTGAAAATTCAGTTAGACTTTTCTATTCAATGGTAAGGAATTTCACAAATGTATTAACTGCTTAGTGTTTTGTGTAGGTCTACTAATGGATGATTTTTTTTTCCTATCCCGGAGTTCTTATTTAAATGTTGTCTATGAATATTTCATATTTACAGTTTCCAACCTGTGGGTGGAGCTCTAAGTCCTTTTCCCAGATTTAAATTAAAGTTATTCCTAACTGCTCTGTCTTTACAAAGTAAATACACACACAGCTGAATTGCTCTGTGCAGAGTTTCAGTTATAAAACAGTATTGCTAAATAAACCTCACAGACAACTCTCACAGTCCCTCTGAAACAAACATGCACCACACCTGCTATGATTAAGGCTTTCTAGCTGAAACACGTTAGCAGTGTTTATACTGTACTTACAGTGTAGCCAATAATCTTAGTCTATGATACACCATGAAACAAATCTTACTCATTAGAGACTTTGCCACTAATAATATCTGGTGACACCTGTTATTTTGCCATCCATTTTAAATTTAAATTCCCCAGTACAACATTTACACCATTGTAGTTAAGGGATTAATTCATGAGAAGGATGCTTTTAGATTAGTTTATTAAAAGACAAGTTTCAGTATGCTTTGATTTGTAGCTTCTCTTGAGTAGAGAGTAGGAGAAAACGTTGTCATTTGGGAACTTTAAAGAATGAAAGTGCTTTTAGTACAGTAATCCTCAAAATAAGCACTCAAGCACTCCTCCCACCAACAAGCTCCCCAAAACGTATACTCACCTGTCCGTTTTTCTGCTAGATCTTCACCCTGCAGCCATTGGAGCCACAGAACTGCTGCTACAGAGGTTTCCCTGTAGTAATTTTTTCTGTTTGTTAGTTAATTCATTCCTATGAAGTCTGTACATAGGCAAAAGTTGTCATTTAGGACCTTAAAAAAATGAAAGTACTTTTAGCACAAAATCTCCAAAATAAGCACTTAAGCACTCCTCCCACCAACAAGCTTCTCACCTGTCCCCTGGAGCCACACAGCTGCTGCTACAGAAGTCTCCCAATAGTCTCTTTTTCTGTTCATGTGTTTATTAATTTCTGTGGACTCTGTTCTTCATGTCTTTCTTTTCCATGGGAACAATGCCCTGCCAGTGGACTTCTGCAGTGGCACCTTGGCTTCCAGTGGTCTGTAAGGTGAAGATCTGGCAAGATGTAAAATAGGAAAGTATAAGACTTGGGGACTTGCAGGATGCAGGATGATTATTCATTAATCTCCATTGGTTTATAGGGAGTATACACTCACCGCCCACTTTATTAGGTACACCTTGCTAGTGCCAAGAAAATATCTCTCACACCATTACACCACCAGCAGCAGCCTGAACCATTGCTACAAGGCAGGATGGATCCATGCTTTCATGTTGTTCATGCCAAATTCTGACCAACTGAATGTCGCAGCAACCTGACCTCTGACATCAACAAGGCATTTTCATCCATACAACTGCTGCTCACTGGATATTTTCTCTTTTTCTAACCATTCTCTGTGAACCCTAGAGATGGTTGTGTGTGGAAATCCCAGCAGATCAGCAGTTTCTGAAATACTTAGACCAGTCCATCTGGCATCAACAATCATGCCACATTCAAAGTCACTTAAATTCCCTTTCTTCTCCATTCTGATGCTCGGTTTAAACTTCAGCAAGTCATCTTCACCACGTCTACATGCCTAAATGCATTGAGTTGCTGCCAGGTGACTGGCTGATTGGCAATTTGTGTTACCAAGAAAGTGAACAGGTGTTTCTAAAAGAGTGGCCAGTGAGTGTATAGTAATTTTGTTTTCACTTTCTTTCGTTATTATGGTCATGACTAAAAAATAAAATTTTTAAAGCCTCTTTAAAGCCAACAGATGGAGTTTTAGGTATCCTTTTACAGACTTTTCCAACTCTATGTTGGATTCTGTGATGACAATGTCTGTTGTTTGCAGAACTGAATAGCTCAAGTTAATACTTCATCTCTTTTCATAGGGGTTAATGTAAAGTTTCATTTAGACAAAATGATGAATGAATGCATGTGTCTTCTTCTTTGCTGTCTTAGCAAACCCGCAATACTCTGGGAATCCTATGTCATGTAATAATTGTTTGTAATACATTTGTAAAAAGAAGAGTGTTTACAGTACATATAGTAGAAAATACTGTATATAAAACAATACATATACACGTTTAAGAAAAAAGACAACTTATATAAAACTGACCTAAAACCATAATATTATCACTTAAAATCATATGCTTGAGCTCCTTATGAGATACAGAAGGGGAGCGACTCACAAACAGCAAAAGAACTGCAACTTGATTTGTTACACAATGATAAATTAAGGTAATTTCTCATTCTTTTAGTTTACCTTCCCTCTAATTTTTAAATATTATGTACCATTTTGAAAAAAACCTAAAAAGTCAATTTAAAGGGACAAGAAGGATACATTCGATATGCAATCTTGACAAAGATACCATGAGTAGAATGGTACACAGCTGAGCTAGAATGGTACACATCTGAACCTGAAAAAGTCTAACTAGAATGGCCAGTCATATGCAAGGAAAAAACAGCATTTTTGGTTGCACATAATTGGATAATAGAAGTCAGCAGAGCTTCGCTTAATTCACTAAACTAAGGGGAAATTCCCTTGCAAAGTGAACAGCTTTTAAATAGCCTTTAGTAAATCAACCTCAATGGGCTGAAAAGCTCTGACACTTTGTTTAGAATGGTGTGCTTATTTATTAAATTGCATTATACTACGTGAAAGTCTGTTAATCCACATAATCTTCTAGAAGGCAACTACCTAAAAGAAACAACAAATCTTTGGATTATGTGTCCTTGACTGTTAAGATTTTTGTCGATTCTGTGGTTTCTCTAGGACTCAACTGTAGTGTGTAGAAGGAAGTGTTCTCCAGCTGGAACATGCAAAAATGGGCAAGAGCAATGCTGTGATGAGTGTGTCTCCTATGTGCCTGCTGAAGAAGTAAAGGTCTGCAAGTCAGGACACAAAATATTCAGGGTAAATGCAGTTAAACATTAATATAATTCATTAAAGCGAAGCTAAAGTCTCCATACTTACCTGTCCAATGGTCTTGTGACAGTGCTGACATCTTCTATTGAGTGCCAGTCTTCGGGCCTCTTCATTGGCCAGTAGGGGATGGTGTCACTCCTGCACATGTGCAGATCGGCCCGGCACTGCATGCGCAGCTCAGCTTTCAGTGCTGGAAGAGACTGCCAGCAGGCAGGTAGGGGTATTTTATTGTAGAATAGAGTACATGTCTCTTCTGTAATAAAGGCCTGCCTGCTCGCAGGTTATAACAGTGGGACTTTAGTTCTGCTTTAAATAAAATGTCATGAAAGTAATGTGAAGGCTGAGGATTTCTGAATTTTGCTGCTTAAAAGCCTAGGCATAAATGTTACATAGAAAGTACCATCCTAACAGGGAGGGGCAAGAGTGACAAAGAGCCTTGCCCATATAATCACTCTGAAATTGTTTGAATTGGAAAAGGCAAGGCCACAGCTTAAGTGGATTAACAAAACCATAAAGGAGAGGTTCAGAAAGCACATATCATCAAAATGAAAGTGATTCTAAAGGCTTTTTTTAAAATAACAAACATGTCTAGACTTACCTGCTGTGTGCAGTGGTTTTACACAGAACAGCCTGGATCCTACTCTACTCGGGTCCCTGGCTCCTTCCTCCTGTATCCATTCATACACAGAGGTGTGGCGCGACGTGACCCCACCCCCTCTCTATTCTCATTGGCTCACTGGCTGTGATTGACAGATGTGGGAGCTGATGCCTCCCACTTCTGTCTCAGCCAGTGAGGGGAAGGAGTCCCGGGATAGCCGAGACTCCAGTACACATCGTTGGATCCAGAGGGGGCTTAGTTGAGTATTGGGGGGCTAGAGGGGATGCTGCACACATAAGGTTTTTTTACCTTCATGTATAGAATGCATGAAGGTAAAAAACCTTGAGCCTTTAGAACCACTTGAATGAAGCGGAAGCAGGGAGATCCTTGCGCAGCAAGCCTTTAGGTTCAGTGTTTTCTCCATCAAGATGAACAGTGCACAGCAGTAACATCACAGAAAGTCACTCCAAATCATGTGAGAATAGCATCAGATGCAGCAGCACCTTGGATGATCTTACACTGCAGACATGCTACACATCAGGAGGAATCCAAAACAAAAAGTAAAACTTTTACTACTTAGTCTGAATTATCTTTTCTAGATAATTTCTCTAAGATAGTAAATCTTTACTAGTTAAGTTTAGATTGACTTTAAATAATGCCTTGCATTTAGCTAACTGTAACACGCTATTAAAGTATATTACAGTATAATCATTAGAGAACATCTCAATTTCCTAAAGCCTTGTTTGAATAATGTGGGTTTTTTTTTTTTATTTAGTGTCTGTAAAAAAGAATCTGAGTGATAAAACATGTGGGGGTTGGAGTTGCTGCTTCATAATAAGACAATGACCTTGAAAAGACATGAGGCCAGTAAAGTCTGAACCTCCCTTCTCTGTCTTCCCTTTTTGTTCTATTTTGGGGACTCATTCGATAGTGACACTAAGATCAGGATGGTTGCAATAAAGTCTGTATGTTTAAAAACAAATCAGCAATGGGCAGGTTCCTGTAGATGAAAGTGTCATATCCCATCTCACTTTTGGAAATGTAACCCAAATCTGGGGATTTTTCTTTTTCTTATGAAAGCTTGGGTACATGTCTAGTGGCTACACCATGCCATATTGGTAATGTGGCACAGTGTCACTGTAGGCCGGTTTAGGCCAGGCAGAGTGAAAATCGGGTTACAAAAGTTTAGAAGTATACAAAACACATACAAGTTTGTCAAAAGGGGGCATTTGGCATATGATGTGCCAAATGCCCATAGGAACCTAAATGGTATATTGAGCTAAATATTGCTTGCTATGCCACTTGCTTAAGTTATTGACACCTGCCATATAGCATCTCCATTTCAGCTGGTGCAGCAGACTAAAAAAGACAAGGGCCGCACTTGTGTATACTTGAAAATAAATGATGAACAATAAATAATTATGTTTATGAAAACTGAAGAGAAGAGTGGAAATGCTGTACATGGCATTTGAGTTCCTTTAAGTTGCATAGTACCTGATAGTGAAATTGAATTGATTGCTACAGGCAACACAGATATTTGGATTTTTTATATATTTTTTTCGTCAGTGAATGTGTGCTGTGTCTATGAAGGGCAAAGCAACAGTTTTAATTTTAATGCCGACCTTCACAGATGCATCAATCTTTTTTCCCTTCTTTCCGCTGATCTGCTCAGCTTATATGAAAGCAATTCCCCGTGTGAGCTACAAGTCACTGGACTAGCTCATAGGACTATGGACCTCTCTTATGACAGTGCTGATTAGCCATTTGTTGTCATGTAGTCCTCTATTCCATGAAGCTGAATGGAGCAGTGGAGGAATGAAGAAAAGGTGTATACTGCTGGGGATGAGGGATTAAAGCAAACCTTTTACTTTGCCCATTCCGTTTGCTATAAACCAGACTTAGATCTGGTATACATTGTTCTGTGCTAGACGTATTTAAGAACACATCACTGGGGCTATTGTTTTTCTTCATGCAGCTCTTAAAGATGTTTTTTTCATAACTCATAATTTATTTTATACACTGATACAAGCCCACTGGGGATAAAATGATTATTTTTCTCCTGTAGTTTGATACATGACTGGGATCACTTGCTGTTGAAAGCCACAGCTGATGGCTGCATTTTTTTGGCTTTTCTGCAGGATGGAGAGATGTGGTCCTCTGTCAACTGCACCATCTGTTCTTGTGTGAAAGGCAAGACAGAGTGTCGCAAGAAACAATGCATTCCAGTCCACAGCTGCCCCCAAGTAAGTATTCCTGTGTTCCTATGTCATTTCACAAATCCGTGCACTTAAATTACTCATTGAAGTAAACTTCTGTAACCTTTCTGTGTAACAATTTCTAATAATCATTTATTTAAATTGAGCCTGTCTTTAGCTTTCATGATCGCTTACAGTGATAAGTAGCATGTTCCTAATAAGTCAACATGTACAACGTATTAAGAATCATTGATATAAAACATAATTATACACAGTAATATCAGTGTTTTGTAGGTTGTAGTTAGAAGGAAGCTATAGCGGTTTTTGGTTTATTCATTTTATTTTTATTATCGTTATAATTTTTATTTTATGGGTAAAAAATCATGATGTTACAAATACATATTTGATACTTCCATGTATAATTTTGGACAGTGTTAGATTTAGAGGTGATTTATTAAGAGAGTACAAAAGTAAGTCTGTGCTTGTTGACTGAAGCAGTAGACCAAAGATATTGAGCAGTGGTGGTTAACTTGCTTGATATAAGGGGATTCAGGTGGGGTCCCTGACATGACCAAAGGGCCACACATAATATTCAGTAGATGCAAAGCTACAGAAGACTGTCAAAAGAATGTGGGCATACGCCAACCGGTGATCAGTAGAAGGTCAGAAACTGTGGGCATATTACAATAAATGATCGATAGATGATCAAAAACTGTGGGTATAGTAGAATAGATGATGTCAGACACGTTAAAGAAATGACTGAGAACATTCTTCAGAAGATGGCCAGAGCAGGAGATACCTTACAATCATGCTCACAACATTTGATATTTCTTTATCATTCACATATTTGTTCTTCAATTAATCTACATGCTGATTATCTTGGCTCTCTTTGAAGCTATCTGGATTGGCTAATCCTATCCTTGGCCATATCATGGAAGAAGTACCTGGACCCACTGGACTGACGATTGTGGGGACTGTCTGGAATGTGGGCACTGCCAGTGGTGCTTCCCAGAAAACCTTCTTCGATCAGCAGCTTGCAGCCATTTGGCTGCAGTTCTGTTCAGTGTATTTTGACAACGGAGGGTCCCTGCTGTCAGAAGACAGTGTCCAAGGAGGAAGGGGGGGGGGGAAGGGAATCTGTTAATTTTTTTTTTTTTGCTCAGCCCACTGGCTGAACAAAACAAAAAACAAGCAGCGTGTACCCAGCTTTAGGGACTCAACACCAATACTTTGGATGTCCCCTGCTTGACTCACTTAACTCACTATACAGATTCTTCCATAGCTCCACCATATTTGGCCTGCTATTCCTCTACTCCAGAAAAGAGTTATTTGCAGCTATGGTACATTTTATGGGCCAAATTGCAAATATGATTTCTGATTCCTAACATAGAGGTTTTAAGCATGTCTTTCCTGGAGCTATAGTCGCTTCTGTGCCTTCTGCTGCAGATACCGTGTCTGAAGAAGGGATCCTATGGGATGAGTTTGTTTTTGAGGAGCCTCAGTCAACTCAAATAGCTTCCAGGATAAAATATACAATCAGCCCTTTTCCAATACACTGTGAGCCACATTTAAAATAGAACAGCCTGTAGCTCTTACTAGTACTGCTACCAATCTGAGATCTCTGAAAAGGCCCACACTCCTTACTTTAAACTGTTCTAATGGAGACTAGGATGCCCCTGACAATTTTTTTACACCTGTCAAACACTTTGCAGAGCCATATCCTTTGAGGATTTTCCTAAATATGTTGATCTGGCAATATCCCACCTTAACATACTACTGGAAATACCTACTGAGAATGATTCAGTGTTTAAGGATCCCACTTCCAAACATTTGGAAGCCCTTCTAAATCCTTATTCCTGCTAGCATACCCTGCTATGCAACCTGTCCTAGCTGTAAAGTCAATTGGTGAGACCATAAGGGAGTGGACCCATGTCAAAAGATTCAGCTACAGTCCTTACTGACCTTTTAGCTGTAGATCACTTAGAGCTTTTGCCTTTAGTCATATGTTATTGTGTAGATGGTTTAGTCAGTATTAATCATCTTGAGTCTTCTGTCTGTAAACACTAGGAGATCTCTGAGGCTAAATTTTTGGTCTGTGGAACAGAAATGTAAAAATGCCTTTTATGTATGTCTATTGACAATGAATTTCTTTTTTGGCACTTTATTTGAAGTTTCATTGGTGGTAAGAATGCCCATTTACCAACGTTCAACAAGCCAAGGCTGCAAACTGTCAAATGTCTCATCAATGAAGTTAAACAGAAAGTTATTTTAATGTCTCTCAGGCTTCTCACTCCAAAAGCCAAGCCTAGGAGAGGGGCCCAGTACTTTTACACAAACCTTGGATCTTTAAAGCCTCCACAAGTCCACTTCATCATGGAGGTACACCACCCCTTTCTAAAGTGGGGAGATGTCTGTTTGCCTTATGGACACCTGGTCAAAATCATCTTGAATGCTTGAGCAAGAGATGTGGTGTTTAAAATGCAAAAAGAAGTCCTTTAGGCCCCATAGTAATCCCAATCATATGACATGTAAAGTAAATCTAAGTTGAACTATGGTAAGGGGTAGTGATGGGCTTTATGTTTGAGTCAAAAGTAAGTTTGACTCGAACATGGGCTGTTTGTGTGTTCGCTGAACACACAAACAGTAAGGACGTTCAGCAGACTGTTCGCCCACCGTGCCCCACAGTGCATTGTGCCCTGACAGTGCATTGTGATTGGCCAAAGCAATGCACCTGACCATTAGCTTTGCTAATCACAGCGCATGATGATGTCACAAGGTTACCCCCACCCCCTTGTGATATCATCACAGTATTTAAGAACTATCATTGCAGCACAGCTGTCAAGTGGCCGGGAGCCAGCATTGAAAGCTTTTTATTTTTTTGGGTCGGCGGGGGTGGTGGGCATCATGATTGATGTTGGATCTACTTCATGGGACATTATTTTTATTTTTGTTTTTAGTAAAGAACTTGTTAAAGACTGTCTCCTGTAATTTTTTACTAGACTTTTTTTTGTGAATGGGTAGAGGAACCATGTACCCCATACTCATTCACATGGGGGGGCAGGATCTGGGGGCTCCCTTTTTATAAGGGGCTTCCAGATTCTGATAAGCCCCCCGCCCTCAGACCCCCAAAACCACCGGCCAGGGTTGTGGGAAAGAGCCCCCCCAAAGCCCCCCCAAAGCACCCCCCCATGTTGAGGGCATGTGGCCTGTATAATTCACTTGCCCCCCCTATTTTGACCTGCATGCTCAGATATGCATCTGATATGGATTTTGGGGGGACCACATACCAGTGTGTAGACCTACCATTTGGATATCATTCACACCTCAAGTGTTCATCAAAGTTCTGGCCCCATGCTAGCCTTACTATGAACCCAGGATGTTCCCATTGTGAAATACCAACATGACTTCCTCTTGAGGGAACTGGTAAAACTGGTAATTCATACTTTAGCTGTCAATGTGATGCAGACATTCCAGAAAAAACCTGGACAGTTCGGGACATGTTTTATAACCTAATTCTGCGTTAAACTTATACACAACTTTATCCCTGACCTGCTTGGTGTGTTCCTTGGCCTTCATGATGCTGTTTTTTCACTAATAATCTCTAACAAACCTCTGAGGGCTTCACAGAACAGCTGTATTTATACTGAGATTAAATTACACACAGGTGGACTCTATTTACAAATTAGGTGACTTCTGAAGGCAATTGGCTCAACTAGATTTTAGTTAGGGGTATCAGAGTAAAGTGGGCTGAATACAAATACATTTTTCAGATATTTATTTGTAAAAATGTTGAAAACTATTTATCGTTTTCCTTCCTCTTCACAATTATGTGCCACTTTGTGTTGGTCTATCACATAAAATCCCAATAAAATAAATTTACATTTTTGTTTGTAACATGACAAAATGTGGAACATTTCAAGGGGTACTTTTTCATAGCACTGTAGCTGCTAGGTACAAACTAGCTACACAATAAAGTAACACATTTACATATTTTTAAAAGGACAGTTAAATTCAAAGCCATTCCTGATTAATTAGAGCTAGATAAAGGCTGGTACTAAAAATGAAGATTACAAAAACAGGATGTGGATTCCAAATTCCCACATGTGCTGAGAGATAGAAGAACCTACTCACTTCTTATTTGGCTCAGAATCCCTAATAAAATGATTTTTAAACAGCTCTTTCTTCCAACTCCTAGGTTAAACCTGTTTAGGTCCTAAGAAGATAGGTTCTTGGTGATAAAACATTTGAGATACAGCTAAACTTCTGCTGCCCAATCTGTGGCCCTTTAGTACTTGTTGTGTAGCCTTCAAACTACCACAGTTAGCAATGGAAGAAGATAACTGCTCTAGCAGTCCCTGGTGATATCCCAGTGTTCTGACTGTCTCCTGCAACATGTGTCCAGTTTACAATTCTGTAATACATCCATGGTCTGACAATTTCTCCAATGATGTTCTCAATTTCTAACAGGCCCTTGCATATACTGTATATTGAAGTCAAACTCAGGGAAACTTTAAAACTGCACCAACATTGTAATGGTTAGCTGCTTGCTTACATCTCCGAGACTTATTAAAGAAGACTTATTTAACTGATCCTCTGATTCTCGACACTGAAAGTCCCTGCAGTGTTTTTCCCTCTATTGTCCATGGATCTGAGGTCTTGTCATCATCATGGGTCCATAGCCCTGCATTGGACGTGATAAGGATGAGGGACAGTCCACCACTGAAGCGTGGGGAGGCACCATCTGCCAGAGGAGCAAGAGTACAGATACCTAAAAGTGTCTTAATGAGCGTTAATGAGCAAGTAACCCTCGCAGCGTGGGTGCAGTCTCACTGCAAGGGATCATTTTAAAGCTTCCCAGAGTTGGGCTTTAAATGCAGTCATGTGCCACAGTTGAGGTCTCCTATCCATAGTAAGTTGACCACTACTGATCTAAACACATTCCACTAGAGTAAATACAGGTAATACCAGAAAAATAGGATTCTAGTTATGTTTCCAGTAAGAGTTTTCTTACTTTTCATGAGTCTAGAAAAAAAAATTCATTAAGATCAAGTGTGGGAGATATTACACACATCGTAGCTTAGATATGAGTTCCTAATAATACAGTAAAACCTCAATGTACTTGCATGTACATAGGTAGCCACATACAGTGTACTTTGTAAATAGAAGCTGCTCTATTACCAAAGAAAATAAATTGCAACATTGCAAAAACAAATTGCTACTTTAGCCCTTTTTAATTCAGCAACAGAGCAGCCTATGTGTATACAGCACACAGAGCCATCAATGAAGGTGGTTGTGTATATGCGGAGCATAGTTGCAGATTGCCCTGTTTTCAGGTATCCATGCAGGAGTAAAGGGGCCCCTTTGTGCTCATACAGCAATGCAAACTTTTAATTTAGTATCTTCTCTACAAGAGGATTTTAACTACTTCTCCGTAACACATGTTTCATACTTTGCTAGTTGTAAAGTTGATAATTGCAGCTTTTTCAGCATAAAAAATGTCTATTACATACTGAGGTCAGAATAATAAATTATAGTAAAAGCAGAAAGGTAACTGATTTAACTAGATTCCACTGAGCTCAATGAAGACACAAAGGATTTTTTGTGTATCCATTAATAGCAGATTTCCATGGTTTCTTTTTTTTTCCCCAACCACTTCAGATTTATACTAGAACTCACACTCATCATAAAACAATGTGGGCTTATTGGAAACATTCACAGAAAAGCATGAAATGCTATCACTTATTAGTCATCAACTAAAATACATTGTCCTAGATAAAAAAAAAAGGAAAAAAAATTAAATAAACACAGGTTTTTAACAGCAGGTTCTAAATGACTATTAAGTTGATCCATCAGGTTTTTATAGCTAAGTCCTCAGGATGGCTATGAATGCAGCCAAACCAAAAAGTTGTGATGTAGAATACACATCTGTACATTATTACAAATCAAAAGTTGCCTTTTTAAATTTGGTGCCAAATGAGGCACACAAAAAAAAAAAACAACAGCTGTTTCTGTTGCACAACCAAAAACAAAAGCCTAATTAGTCTTGCCTGAAATATTTTCAGACATAAAACTGAAAGGCTCATAAAACTGAAAAGACTGAAACATGGTCGGATTAGAAAGACTTTTCTAAGAAAAATTTGGATTATATCACTTATTGTGTTCCTTGGGGATTCTGCCTATTGACTAACATTTGCAGCACACTTGATATATATTGGCTACCTTCTTTTTGGTATTGGTCATATACTTCTTCCTAAATCTGGCACCAGTAGATACAATGGCTCAACCCACTGGGCAGTCAATACATTCACATTGACAATAAAGCTTCAGCATATAGATGCTTTCTGAGCTGCTGTCACTCCACATGAGCAGGGTGATTGAACTTTAGGAAAATATTTTCCAAATTCTATCAAACATTTTTGTGAACCATAACTGTATTGTATTGAAATACAAAATAGTTTTTTTTTTGGATAGAAATACCCGTGTCAAACGTTATTTCTGTCTATGTCTCTGCCTCTTTATTTCTCCTGATGATCATTAAGTGATGGGTAATCCAAAATGATGCAGGAATTTAGTGGACATCTTTCATTGAGGACACCTGTTCCGGTGATAAATTTCCATCTAAAAGCAAATTTAACACCATTTTTGTTCTCATTTTCTGCTTCATTTTCAGAACAGGGCACTTTAAAGTGGTTCTAAAGTCTAAACATTTTTTATCCTAATGCATTCCTTGCAATAAGGTACACAATGTTTAGGCATAGGTTTTGGCCTATCAACCCCCTATATACATACCTGAGTTACCAATAATTCCAGTGCTGTGCACATCTGCAGCTCTTCTCCCTCACTTCCGTGTCTCACTGGCTTTGCTGGTGCACTGGGAGCCAACACATGAATTATGAAGCCAAAACCCTTGTTTTTTACATCCTTTGAAAATAACCTCCAAAGAGAAAAGATTTGTGACCGGTTTCCTAAATCTCGTGCTGTTTCTGTGTTTTGTTACAGGGCAAAATGCTGAATAGAAAAGGCTGCTGTCCTATTTGCACTGAAAGTGAGTAAGTTAATTTTTAATTTTTATTCATTGTGACTCTTGAGAATGTTACGTTGCACTAGTTCCTTCTATATTTTTGGTGCTTGTCTGTTGCATTTAGACCATAAATTTTCAGCACCACAGTTTTGGCATCATTTCATCTTTGGGTGGGATTGGTAGATTTAGTTGTTGGTATGATATTGTTAGAGGCAAACCCCAAGCCCTTCTATCAGGTAAAGGCAGAACGCACCATGGTAGCACCAAAGCTTGATTTCCTTTTCTTACCTTCTGTACATTCAGAAGGGAGCCTCCCTTCTGACATCATCACATTGTCCACCATCTTGGTACATCTATGTATAACGATTGATGCCCATTACTTCAACGCTGTTGTAAGTGCAATTTTGTTTTGTCCTAATAAAGTAATTGGCATTAATGCACTATGAGAGGCACCTCTTTATTATTATCTTTTTTATGAGCCAGCATGGATCTTAATTCCAGAATGGTTGAGTACACCAGAGCAAAGCAGTGGGTCCCATTATAATCCATCTGTCTGATGGAGTCATACTCATATTGAGCTTATCCCAACCTCCTGTAATTAAGAGGTCTGGGGATCTGGTAAGCCTTCAATTTGCTCTATAAGGTGGTGGCTACTCACGTTGGTGATTTTTGGTTGGAATGAAGAAGAATTTTCATTTTTTGCATATATAAGAGACTTTTTTTTATTCACCAAGATTGTTTTGTTATCATCCTTTTCATATGAGGATTTTGAGTACCTAGGGTTCTTCAAGAACTGTCATTACTCATATATTTAGTGCACTTTATTGTGTATTTTTATTGAGTTTGTTTATTTAAATTGTTCACCCTTAGTTCAACACTTTCTTTACATCGTTCTTTACATCTCTGCAGCTGTAGAGGTCAGTGAGGGCTTCTTTTAAAGAAAATTTACAACTTATTACGAATGTCCATAGTCTTAATGCTGGTACACTTTAAAGGTTATGCTAAGGTGTACAAATCCCTTACTCCAAGGAAAGATATGAACTAACAGAAGTAGCTTGCATTTCTCAAACTCATGGGAATATATATACAGGAAAGTATGTACCTTAAGGAATTCATGGACCAATGCCTAGGTTAGCATGAATATGTCTTCATTAATACCAGTAACAAACCTCCAGTGTTTAAATAAATTTATCATTTTATCTAGATCTGTACCTTAACACTCCTTATCATATCCCTGTTTACAATTGTTTTATACAATCCTCTCAAATCTTTGGGCAATGTTGCATTAAAATATAGTAATCTCAAATGGGTCAGCTGCTTGGCTACCCTTAAATGCAGCTGTTGATTATCCCATTTCAACTCAGCAGATAATTATTCCAGTGGATGTTGCCAATGGTTTGGACATCCACATACTTTGCAGTTTCAAATCCTGCAAGTGTATTTTGTTCTCTCACCATCTCTCTGATTTTGTGCAGTGCAAATGTTTTAGTGTAGAACAGCATCATTTTCAAAACCAGATACCTTAAAGCTAGACATAGAACTGGGTCATTTAACTGGACAAATGATCTGTCTATCAAACAGACACTGTCTGTTATGTTAGTTGTGCACAATTTTAGCCTAGTCCCCCACTGGATCCTCTGGTCCCTATACAGTAGATGCCTAGCAAGGAATTAATTGTCCATTTTTTAAAAAGACTTGTTCATGCTAATGCTCTTGTGTAGACTATGGTATATTTAGGTCACAACAAGGGGAATATATTTAATCTAATTTTGTGTCAGACAGATCTTGTCTTTTGAAAAAATGCTGTTATTATATTATGTGATACTTTGCACATTAACTATTCTTTATATCTGAATACAGAGCCTGGTGTTTGTACTGTATTTGGAGACCCCCATTATAATACGTTCGATGGACGGACATTCAATTTTCAAGGAACTTGTCAATATATTTTGACCAAAGATTGCGCATCTTCTACCTCACCTTTTGAAGTTATAGTAAAAAATGATGCTCGACGCACACACTCTTTCTCATGGACAAAAACCGTAGACCTAATAATGGAAGGAAGCATCATTAGTCTTCAGCAGCATCTTACAGTTAAATGGAATGGAACAAGAATATCACTGCCCTATGAAACACTCAATTTCATATAGACTTAGATGGTTACCTTTTAAAAGTCACCACAAAAGCAGGTAAGACTTAGATGTAGGAAATAGATATGCATAATATGTAATTGTTGTATATTCTGGACCAATCTACTAAAGCAGTTGACATTTGTCACTGAAAAAAATGTGCGGCATCCAGGAAGTGGGCTTTAAACCTGGGCACCACATATATGTGTTCTAGTGTTTGTGCTGGGAGAAAGCTCCACAACACTCTCCCAGCACAGAGACTGGGCTCTAACCAAGAGCCCTGGGTCTCATAATAACAATTGGAACCTGGAACACCTGGTTCCCGGTCACCTGATCGCTGTGATAGCCTCTGATTGGCTGTGGCAGGGATCAGTCACTATGCAGCCCACCCATGTGATTTCACTTTCTTCTGAATGGAGAGAAATATACATTGTGTCCTTCTCTCCTTGCAGGAGAGAAAGATGTACTCAAACAAAAACAACTATGTAAAATAAAAATAATAATAAATTAAAAAGAAATAAAAACAGATAAAGGCTTCTAGGCCAATGTCAGGGTTAGTGTTAGGATCAAGGTAAGAGTCAAAGGTCAAGTCCTGGGTCAGAGGTCAGGGTCAGTATATTTTAGGTAGGATTTTCAAAAAAATTACCTTTTTTGTATTTCGATGATTTTTATTAACTTTTTTAAAAACAATTTAACAAAGGAAAACTAAAGCATAAGACACGCCCGCACATGGGGCTATCAATGGCACATAAAAAATAAAGAGAACAGTGCTGTAACACCAACAATGTAAAAGACGTGCCCACATAGGGGCCATTAAGAGCACATAAAATACAAAAACAGTGATATAACACCAACAAGATACCAGTTAAGTCAAGTATCTACCGCCTCACAGATTCAAACAGAAAAGAAAGAGGAAAAAGGAGTAAAGAAGGAAGAAGAAAACAAGACCAAAGCAGGAATCCGGGAACGCCAATACCGTACTGCATCATGAACCCAGATTAGTCGGGGGGAGTGTAGGAAAAGCATATGTCAACCACGGCTCCCATATTTTCAAGAATTTCCATTGGGAGTCATTACGGATACTCGACATCTGTTCATTGAGCATCAGAGAGGCCATACGGTCCCGCACCCCCTGAAGAGGGACAGATAGACCTGAGCAATTGTTCTAGTGGCCGACAAAAACAAATAGGAAGCCAGCTTCTGCTGATGGGCCAACAGGCCTGGTATGGAACAATGAAGCAAAGCATACCGAGCCTCCCGGCGTATGGAGATATGGAACAATGTGTAAAGAAGGCCAAATACATGAGACCAAAAATTAATCAGTCTCGGGCATGACCACCATATATGCAACACTTCTCCACGATGGCCACAACCCAGAAAGCAGCAATCACTATAAGCAGGGTTCGCCTGGGCTGGGACCCAATACCAACGAAACAGTACTTGTATGCTGCCTCCAGCGTGGCTGTATTAAACGAACATTTAGCTATAAACGACCAGGCCCTGTTCCAGTCCTCCAAATCCATGACTGCCCTCAAGTCACGCTCCCACTGGGAAACATATGATAGAGAGGTACGCATTGAGCGCCTATTCAGGGATGCATCAAGTAGGGAAACAAGGTCTGGAGCTCCCAGACGCTCTTGGCAAAGCTGCTCAAAGGCAGATTTCTGATTCGGGAAAGTGGAATTGCCCCGCAATGAGGTCAGTCAGTGCCGCAATTGAACATAATGAAAAAATTCCTCCTGAGGAACATCCTGTGACTCCCAAAGGGAGCTCCAAGTGGGAAGGACCGAGAAGTCAAAAAGTGTTGCACTTGTGAAAAACTATTGGCCACCCACAAGGAGAATGCCCCTGGTTGATCGAAACCTGTCAGAAAAAGAGAATTGTTAGTAATTGGGAGCAAAGGCAGAAAGGGAGAGATTAAGCCACTGGAATAATGTAACGAATCCCACACTCATAAGCCATGGAACAAAATTGGACTTAGTGTCAGTGGGCGTAAGGCAGGAGGGAGCCATAAAAGTGTTGATGTCACGAAGTGGGCACAGTTAGGCAGTTCCAAAAGGACCCAAAGAGGAACATCAGAGGAAGCATGAAACATAGACAGTGGGGCAATCTGGCTCGCCTGGTAATACTTAGCTACATTAAGCACCCCAAGACCTCCCTGGAGTCTATGAATAAAAAGCGTATTTCTAGAAACTCTAGGGCATCTGTTGGCCCAGATGAATCGCATAATCCTCGCCTGAATCAGTCGGAGAAAATGAGGAGGAACTCGTACTGGGAGGGTGCGAAAATAATATAATAATTTAGGTAGGATGGTCATTTTCACCGAGTTCATTCATCCTATCCAGGACAGGTGCAGGAATTGCCAAGACTGCATAAGAGAGGACACAGAACGAAGCAAGGGATAATAATTCTCAGCAAACAAAGAGCCATAGGTAGGGTCAGGTGGATTCCCAAGTATTCAATGGAAGAGGAAGCCCATTGGTAAGGGAAGTGAAACTGTAAGCGCAAAACCAAATCTGAGGCCAAGGAAATATTGAGAGTGACAGTCTTATTCAAATTAATACGGAGACCCGAAATCTGGGAAAAATGTGCAAGGACCTGTTGCAAACTTGGGAGAATTGTCAAGGGATTAGTGAGAGTCAAGAGGGCATCATCATCATCCATTATCTGGGCCACAAATTGGCCCCTTTCCCCATAGCTTGAGGCACTCGACAAGGATGCCTGCTTTTAACAATACTCTACACCCTAGCAATTGAACCCCTAGCCCTTTTGATTAGAGCGGATCCTAACATACGCAGCCTCGAGGTCGGCGGGTCTCACAACAAAATTTGCCTTTGCGGATGATGTACTCCTCTTTTTTACTTTGCCACTGACCTCCACCCCTACCCTACTCTGTATTCTACAAGACTTTGGCCACATCTCCGTCCTTCAAGTTAATCCCCCAAAAATCTATGGTATTGAATATTTTCCTCTCCTCTCAGGAGATCTCACATTTGCAACAGGTTCTCCCATTTTCGTGGTCCCACCAGTCTATCTCATATCTAGGCATTAAGCTGACGGCCGCCCTATCGGACTTATACTCCGCCAACCACTTACTAATGCTCACTCATCTTACAGGTCTTATGCATAACTGGTTCTCACTGCCACTGGCATGGATGGGAAGAATCACAGTGGTTAAAATGTCCATCTTGCCTAAGACACTATACCTATTTAGAATTCTTCCCATCCCTGTCCTGGCACATTTTATCTGCATTCTGCAATGGCGCACATACGCATATATTTGGGGTCCTATTCGCCCTCGAGTATCCCATTCTACTATTCACAAGTCTAAATTAATGGGAGGTCTGGGCCTCCCAGACTTTGCTAAATATTATCAAGCTGCACATCTTGCGCAACTTCCAAAATACCATGTGACCCACAAGATCCAGCAATGGGTTGTTTTTAAATCAGTTGATAGCGATCCTCTCTCACTAGCCAACCTACTATGGCTCCGACCATTCGACCGTCGGACAATTCGGAATCCAATTACTTCCCACTTTATTTCCCTTTGGGATAGAATCAAATCACGATATCCCCTCCAGTCTTCTCTCCCACCTTCAAAACCCAGCCTTTCATCCGGCCTGGTCTTCTCCACGTTCTTTTGCACATTGGTCCTCAGCGAACCTTCTTCGAGCCCATCACTTTTTGACTAACACAGGTATCAAATCCTTCCCCTCCCTTCGAGAATCGTATTATCTACCAGCGTCGGAAATCTTTAGATAGCTTCAACTGAAGCACTTCTATATCCCCCTTATCAACCACTTCATGCTCCATCCGCTCCATGACCTTCTTCGAAAGCACGTGCAAGAAAGACCTACACAGGCAGGGCCTCATCTCCGCTCTTTTACACTCTATTACTGAATCCTGAGTCTTCCTCTGGCCCTCCATATGTTGCTAAGTGGGAGAGGGACCTAGGTTCCAAGCTGAGCTCTGATGAATGGGACCGCATTTGGTTGGTAACCAAATCCTCCTTACAGATTGTGGTAGCGGTTGAGACTAACTACAAGGTCTTGACTCGATGGCACCCAGTCCCGGCAAGGATTGCTAAGTACACTCCGGGTTACTCTCCAGACTGGTTTCGGGGCTGTGCGATGGCGGGAACGTATCTCCATATCTGGTGGTCCTGCCCAGCAGTTCAAGTTTTCTGGGTTGGAATCTTCCATATGTTGTCTACTCTTTTTGTACAACCACTGTCGCCTACCCCAGACATTGCCTTACTAAATTTGCGACCCCCTCGATATACAAGTCCCAATTCAAACGTCTCTTACAGATCACTACAGCTGCCAAACAAATTATAGCTAAATCTTGGAAAACTCCATCCCTGTGCATACTGGCAGTTTGAATAAGGTAAGACAGGCAATGATACATGCTAAAGTGGAAGCTGCCATTACAGACACTGTCCCTAAATTTTTGTCAGTGTGGCCCCCCTGGGTGGAACACTTCCTACCCCCATGCTTTGACGAATCATTGCTCCTCCCTCAATAATCTCCTCCATCTGATGGTAGTCCTGAGCCTTGGTCCTGTCCCAAGTCCACCTCACTATTCTGGTAGTCAGACAAAAAAGTTGGAACTTTAATGTTGGCCACCAGGCCTCATGCCTTAATTCTTTTCTACTGTGAACATACTTTGCATATTGCTTGTATGCCATGTAACTTTAAACTCCACTAAAAAGTTTGAACAAGAAAGTAACCAGCCAAAAAGGGCACCAACAGGGTCACAAATTCCTTATAATAGAGGCCTGAAAAGCCATCAGGGCCACGGTGGGCTGTAAAGATTTGTTAGCTTGAAGTACTTCTGATATGGTTACACCAGCATTGAGGGCTACCTGGGCCGCTTCGGACAATCCAGGAAGTCATAGATCTTGAAAG